AAGCCAATTGTTCATCTTTGGAATAGCACGAGAGAGAGAGTAAACGATAAAAGAATGAAAGTTTACTATGAACAAACCCTTTAATTGTATGAAAATGCACACATTTCAATATTTATTATTTATAAGAATTCCAAATCTTTTCACAAGTATATGAACGTCGCACTAATGTAAAAAAAAAAAAAACACTATAGAGGCATTCAAAACATCCTTTTAGATTTAGTACAATGTGTTTTAAAATTTAATCGTTTATTCATTATTCAATAAGTCACCAAGGGAAAGACTGTTCATTTTAAAACACACACAGACATGCACACACAGATAGAGAGAGACAGAGAGAGAGAAAGAACAATGAATCCCCCAATTATTGTATAATTATGGGATTTGTTTTACCTCCAGCTAAACTACACCTCCAGTGTATGACGTATAAACTCTAACATTAAGCCCATTTTTACATATCAACCCATAATCCTATTTTTCCCCTCCAATTTCCAACAGTTGCAGAAATTGCAAATATATATATAGTATTTTAAAACATGCCCCATTTTTTGTATGCTCAACATGTCCGAAATCACATTCGCATTTATTTTCTGTGCACTGAACAGCCTGTTCTTGATATAATTGCTTATTTTGATAAAGTTGTCCACTGAGGCACACCTGTCCTCAACTTTTTTTGTCATCCTAAACACAAATTCAGCAGTGTGTGACTGACTTTGGCAGAACAAAATGACGAATATAATTATGAGGGACAATTTGGCCTTCTGTGTTTATGGTGGCTGAAGTCCTGATCTAACGATGCTTGTTTATAACTGTATTTAAGGGGATTGATGAGATTGTAGGGCGGAGCTACAAATGCCTATGTGTCAGCATAGTGGCAGAATCAAAAACAAGACCAACGTCCTATGATAATGAGGAAAGATTGACACTAATGGGTAGGGCTTTCTTCCTTTTTTGACTAATGCCACACAAATTGTGTGATTTTTGCATAATAAGTCCTCTTTAATGTTGGCCCACTACTTTTTTAGCAGCAGAACTATTTTTCCCATTCATTTTTCTAAAATAGTCTAAGATATGAACCAAATCAATCAGCTATGAGGAGAATCAACATCATATGAATTGGAAAAAAACAAGTATGCAAGTTGGTTGTATCTATAGAAACAATATATTTAAAGTTTAATGAAATTGTTTAAAAACAGCCCTGCCTTTAATAAATGGAAATTTGTACTTTCGGAACCTGATAGTTGCAACATTTAATCTTAAAATTCGTACATATTTTCTTGCCGTTCTGGATTGCGAAAATCAGAATTGTGAGTTAATGAAAAGAAAAAAAATATCATTTAAAAATATACAGTTGAAACCAGAATTATTAGCCCCCCCTGAATTATTAGCCCTTGTTTATTTTTTTCCCCAATTTCTGTTTAACTGAGATTTTTTCCCAACACATTTCTAAACATAATATTTTTAATAACTCATTTCTAACAACTGATTTATTTTATCTTTGGCATGATGACAGTAAATAATATTTGACTAGATATTTTTCAAGACACTTCTATACAGCTTAAAGTGACATTTAAAGGCTTAACTAGGTTTATAGGCAGGATAGGGTAATTAGGCAAGTTATTGTATAACGATAGTTTGTTCTCCAGACTATCGAAAAAAAAATCTAATAATAATAAAATAATAATAATAAAATAATAAAAGAGGCTAATAATTTTGACCTTAAAATGGTTTTTAAAAAATTAAAAACGTATTTTATTCTAGCCGAAAAAAACAAAACAAATAAGACTCCCCAGAAGCAAAAATATTAAGCAAAATATTAAGCAAAATATTAATGCTCTGTTAAGCATAATTTGGGAAAACAAAATTTAAAGAGTAAGGAAAAAAATTCAAAATTCAACTGTATATTTACTTTTATTGTTGTTTTTATTAAGTAAAAGAGCAAGCAAAAATCTAATTGGGAGATAGAAAGTCAGAAAAAAATTAAGAAAGAAATTCTGAATTTTGCAGAAAAGTTAGAGAAAAAAAGAAAATAGATTAAAAAGTTACAATAAAATATTTTTTTCCATTTTAAAAAGGTTAAAAAGTGGTAAAAAGCTTATATACATGTCTAATATCCTAAAACCTCAAGAAAGTCTCTATAAAACTGAATTCTGAGAAAAAAAAGTAATTAAAAGTAATTAAAGTTTTTCGTTTGTTTGTTTTTTGATTCCATGGCAGAAACAAGCTACCACACATATCTACCATCCCAAAGAAGCACAAGAAGCAAATCCTATGACAAGCCAAACTGAAGACATCTCAGCAGTCCAGTTCACTAATTCCCAACACTTGCAATGTAATCTAACGTGATTTGTTTTTATATGGCGCATTTATTGTGTATCGCCATACACCCAAATCGCTTCACAATCATGAGGGGGGGGTCTCTCCACTCCACCAACGGGTGTTGCATCCACTTGACAACAGCGCCAGTGCACTCACCACACACCAGCTATAGGTGGAGTGGAGAAACAGTGAAAGAGCCAATTTGGTGGATGGGGATGATTGGGAGGCCATGATGGATGGGCAAGGGCCAAGGGAGGTACAGTAATTTGGCCAGGGCACAGGGGTTAGTCCCCTACTCTTTACGAGAAGTTCCATGGGATTTTTAATGACCACAGAGAGTCAGGACCTCAGTTTAACATCTCTTCTAAAAGACGGCAGCTTCCACACACATCTACCATCACAAAGACGCCCAAGAAGTAAATCCTATGACAAGCCTGACTGAGGACATCTCAGCAATCCAGTCCACTTCCCATTCACCAATTTCCAACACTTGACCTATTTGCATCCACACATGGCCTTATAAAAAACAACACAGATTTGCCATAAATAGAGCCTCTGGTGACAATAGATAAAAACAACTTTGTCCTCACAGAAAGGGACACACTCCATTCCTGAATGTGACGGAAAAAGTGGACAATTTCACATTCACTTATTTTAAAAAGTTCATTGTACTAAATAAAAACAACTTATGTGATTTCAAAAATGTTCTGCAGTAAAGTGAACTTAAACTGAGTAGAAACAGATTTCTAGTTTTCCTGCATGCACTGTGTCAGACTGTACATTAATATAAATTACGTAATGTAAGGACACATATTTTAGTCTATAATTTTGTGCTACTGTATATATGTTAGGATTTACAGAGCTTTCTGTTATGCTAAAATTGGTACGTTTACCAGGCGACATGTTTTTCGTTTAGAGAAACGTTTTTCTCTGCGTTTTGGCCTTCTGTCCACACCGAGATAGTGTTTTAAAGCTAACGTATCTTTTTGAAATCACAACATTAATTTCAGTTTGTATATTCTCCAGATTCTCAAACCGGAGCACCCAGAGGAAACCCACATGAACACGTGGAGAACATGAAAACTCCACACAGAAGCACCAACTGGCCCAGCCACTAAGACCAGCGACCTTCTTGCTGTGAGGCGACAATGCAAACCTTAACCGTCACTGACCAGTGCTATCAGTAGTTTGTGGTGATGAACTTTCTATAAACTGATTTGCTCTTCCAATTGGCAGTTCATTATGCTTTGGCGACCCCTGATAAATCAGGGACTAAGTCGAAGGATAGTGAGTAAGGGAGTAAGCGAGCGAGTGAGTAGTTTGCTAGAAAGCCACCATATAGCCCAGTCTTACACCATAACCTACTCTTACATCAAGCAGCACTATCGCAGAAGCGCCAAACACAAACATACCACCAACAATGGAAGACAGTGCATAACTATTGATGCTCATGACTTTGCAAACCAACATCAGCATCCAAACAGCTTAGTGTAAGTTATATACTGTACACAAGTAGATCAAGACAACGAGTATAATTAGCAAGTTTAGCATCGTATCTGCTATTTCAAACAGGGTTCCCGCTATTTCATGGATAAATCGAGCACTTTTGTAGTTTTACACCCCTAGCATATATAGTATCACAAACGTCCTTCCTATGCATTCCTATAATATTTCCCATACACTTAAAACTTGCCAGCAGCTAGCTCTCCGCAAATCTCACATGCTTGCCCACTGAAGCTAAGCAGGGCAGTACCTGGTCAGTACCTGGATGGGACACCACATAGGAATGCTAGGTTGCTGCTGGAAGTGGTGTTAGTGTGACCAGCAGGGGTGCTCAACCTGCGCTCTGTGTGAGTCTCTCACTCTGATTCCTCTAGACCAATAAGTTTTTGTGTGGTGTGCGGTCTGGCGCAATATGGCTGCCATCGTGTCATCCACGTGGATGCTGCACATGGTTTGTGGAGATTCCCCCAAAAATGTGTTAAGCGCTTTGAGTGTCCAGAAAAATGCTATATAAATGTAAGGAAGTCATTTTCAAAAATGTTGACTGTTTTCAAAATTCATGTTCAAAGAAGTAGTTGAATTCAATGCTGGTAATAGTATTGATAAAATGCATTAGTTCATGTATAAAATGTAAATGTAAATTTAAATAAAGAATTTTTTAGTTTTTTGTTTAGTTTTTGAATGCAGCACAGACAATTGTTGAAATAGCACCCTTAAATTCAAGCCCTTTCAACGACCTGTTTTTGTGTTAAGGTACTTTCCCTCTCTGTTGTTTGAAATGCAAATATATTCAAGAAGTGGGAACGCTGTTCAAAAATGGCCGTCAAAAGTTCCTGTCCACTTGTCAAAAAAATGCTGTCAAAGTACAAAGTAAAATGAAGTTCTACTAACTCAGGGGTGTCCAAACTTGGTCCTGGAGGGCCAGAGTTCTGCAAAGTTTAGCTCCAACCCCAATCAGACACACCTAGGCTGGCTAATCAAGCTCTTACGAGGCTTTCTAAAAACATTCTTGCAGCTGTGTTGAGGCAAGTTAGAGCTAAAATGGACACTGGCCCTCCAGGACTGAGTTTGGTCACCCCTGTACTAACTTAAAAGTACAAGTTGGTTTATTGGAATGTTTCCACAAATGATTTTGAGTATTCTAACCTAATCAGTTTGTGCAATGTGGGAAGATCACTGACCTGCTGTGGCGTAGCGGGGTCTGTCTCCGCGTGTCTCCCTCCCCCAGCCGGCCCAGGGAAGGGGATCGGCTTCGGGCGGAGCGCCCGCCCAGGGCCATGGTTTTCACCGTGCCATTTGGGCTGTTCTGCATCTGCTGGGGGTGGCGGGGCGAGAGGCTGCGCAGGGGTGAAGCGGCAGGAGAGGGCGAGCGTGAGCGCTCCAGCGACAGCTTGTTGACGTTCAGGTTGTTGTCGCTGTTGGATCGGAGCAGCACTCGCGGGGCGGCAAGAGTACTCCTACCCTGGTGCTGCAGCGGCGATTGCTGCGACGGCCTGCTCCGTCCTGTGCCTGCCGGTGCCTCCCGGAAAGGCACTGGGAAAGATGAAGAAAACAAGAAGTAGTATTAGATAAAAATAATAGATTTGAATGCAGTGTGCACTTTCAAGTTGAAAAGTAGATCAGCTTTTTTAGGTGTCCTTCATTTCCATTGAAAAAGGCAATAATTAGAGCACTGTAACGAGTGTTTCAAGTACCACACTTCAGCTTCATTTCTGCATACAAAGAACTTAAAAGACCAAACGCTGTCTGCTCATCAAGCTCACAATCAGCCATTTCCACGCTCATTTACTGAATGATGAATGCATTTATTGTGTTTTGACTTGTTATGAGCTGTCGGAATAATTTCAGAACAAGAAAATTAACTCTTGAGACTCTTAAATGTGGAAATAGATTTGGTAACACCAAACAAACATTCGTTTAACATGTTAAAACTATTTAATTCAACAGCTAATGATACCTCACACAAATAGTAATTAGAGTTTATTCTATTCATTCAGTAATACATTTTGAAATGTCACGTTGCATAAAACAGTATTATTTGCTGTATGAAATGTATTTTATATATTAATTAACTGCAATTCACTTAGATGTTAAATAAAATGTAATTATGACTAATAAATTAATATATGACTTGCTCTTCAGTTTGTGTTTCTAGGTTCCTCAATTCCTCTGTGGGAGGTTTGCTCCATGTACACACAATCTTAGCAAATCCTTTATCACTGACTGTAACACACAAAAAGTTACTGCTGAGAAATTGTGTCTTATCTTTAAAGCTGCAGGACTTATTTTTAAAGTCTACTTGTTGGTAAGAATACTGGGCTTGATATTTTTAAAATACTATAAGAATTTAACTAAAGAACTATCTTACATTTAAAAACACAGTCTATTCCTCCAATACCACAGCTGTTCATCTTTTAGAAATCACTCTTATTAGCTCATGTGGTGCTCAGGAATGTTTGTACTATAATAATTTTTTAAAGTTTTGTATGTGGATACCATGGTACATTTTTTACTATATTCACTGATGATTAAAAAGTTCAAAAGAGTATAGAAACATTTATTATAATATGAAATGTCTCTAGGGCAACGTAGTGACGCAGTAGGTAGTGCTGTCGCCTCACAGCAAGAAGGTCGCTGGTTCGATCCTCGTCTCAGTTGGCGTTTCTGTGTGGAGTTTGCATGTTCTCCCTGCGTTCGAGTGGATTTCTTCCGAGTGCTCCGGTTTCCCCCAAAGACATGCGGAACAGGTGAATTGGGTAGGCTAAATTGTCCGTTGTGTATGAATGTGTGGGTGTAAATGTGTGTGTGCATGTTTCCCAGAGATGGGTTGTGGCTAGAAGGGCATCCGCTGCGTAAAAACGTGCTGGATAAGTTGGTGGTTCATTCCGCTATGGCGACCCCGGATTAATAAAGGGACTAAGCCGACAAGAAAATGAATGAATGAATGAAATTTCTCTACTGTCACTTTTAATCAGTTTAATACATCCATTGTTAAATTAAAAGTTATTAATATCTTTAAAAAAACAATGGAATACTTTCTTTTTGCCTCTTTTATTTGCAGAGGCTATTACAAGCAGATTTACTGCTGATTGTGCAAACTCGCATTCCAGTGTGTATTATTGTTTTGTTCATCTTGTTATGAGATTCCAAACTTAACCAACATAGAAACGGCCAACCAATAGAGTGTGTTTAGGGTGTGGATTTCTGTATTCACCAACCAATGGCAGACTGTTTGGGAAGCCTGTTTAAAAACAAACTTCTTTGAAGTTCTCTTTGAAGCTGCTGAAGGTGAAAAAAAACTACACACTTCATCTAACAATAACATCTCCTAAAAAAATCAACAAATTAACAAGCTGAAACACCTTTATGCAGTGTTTTGTGGTTTCTTAAACAACTGCTTCCTCTATTCTCCAGAGACATACACCCACAGCAGCAAACTTCTGTGGTTCCATGGTAATATACACAAATTTCATGGCCAGATGAAGCTTTATCTCTACAACTCCCCCCTTTTCAGGCCTAGGGAAATCCCTAGAGTTCACTGTATGCATGATAAATGCCTATATTTATTTGTTTGTCGCCACATTAAGTGGTTCAGGAAAAGGTTTATCCAAAGAAGCCTTTTTCTCAGAAACATTAGGCCGCTGAAAGACATAGTTCACGCATGAACTAGATATCACTGCCTGGATGAGACAAACGCTATAAATATATTCTAAAACGAACCCAGGAGAAGCATAGAGGAGAAACACACCGCTTATTACGCATCAAGTCCCCCCTGTTCGTTAATGTGCTGACGTAATGTCAACTTGAGGCAGTTAGATCACCTTCCCTGTCATGAAAGGTTGGCACTGGATGGCGTTCGTCATAACAAAAGGCCTCAGAGGTACATATGCTCCCGTTCATTATTTAAAAAGCTACTGTAAGGAGATCATTATGGCCAATAATTCGAACCCAGCCCCCACAAGCTGTGAAGAAATCCACCCAGCCCCCCCATGAAGCCTGCCAATGAAAAGACAAATACAATAGAATCAAAAGAAAGCAACACTGATAATGGCACAAAAACAAACAAGATGGTTCATTTGGACAGAACAGAGCAAACAAGGTTTTTCTGGCACCAACTGAAGTCGATGACATCACAAGCACATTGGCTGCCGGAACACTGCTTTTGGAACACCGCTGAAACAGTCATTTCCTTCAAACACCTGAAATCAAAGTGGCGGCGTTCCAAGTGCAACAATCTAAATATAAAAAATGTCCCAAAACCAAGACAAAGGTAGAAAATATTTACTCTTTCAGACTAATTCGCTCTTGGCCTCACAAGATTCAACTTATAATACTGTAAAAATTATTACTTTGCTTCCTCCTCACCTAAGAATAGTTTAGGACAAGAGTTTTGAACACCAATCCCAAAGAACCGAAGTCACCAAAGTCACAAGGTGCCACTCAAGACCAAAACATCACCTCTTACCTTCCTTCTTGAAGGCATTCAGTAAGGACTTCATATCTCCTCCTTGAGTTTATTGCTCAATAACTCCCTTGCGGTGTCCGTGTGGCCTTGAGGAACTTGGGAATTGATGGTCAGGTTCTCCTGGACAGGGGTTCCTTGCTCAGTGAAGCAGCTTTACGGAGAAGGCAAGCCCTGTGGTGACAGTGCCCGCTCCACATGATGACTGCGAGAGGAAACGGCAGAGAGCACAAGCCTCGCACGTTTCCCAGCTCTGTACTCGCTCTCTCGCTGACACACATACGTACACAGTAACTCTCTCACTCGGTCTCAGTTTCTTTCCATTTTGCCCCGCCTCCCTCTCTCTCGCTTCCTCTCTTCCCATCATTCACTGTACTATCAGTTGAAGTCTCCCCCCTGTTTGGATTCCTCAAGGCAGAAGACTGATTGGAGTGTGTTGTTGAATCAGCTGGGTGACAGGAGCATGCTGGGATAATTCGATTCAAAACACTACCATTATGACACCAAGTACTGAGATAAACACAATTGCCCCAAAATCCTTCAAGTGCGGCTTATCAGTTGCTCCAGATAGCATCACAAGGGTTTTTGAGAATTGGTTGGCGACCGCCCACCGAACGGCGCAATCAAGACGCCCGAATTAACTCGCTACAATCAGAAAGTGTTATCGATTAGGGATTTTTACACAGGTCGACTCGCCGAAACAGCTGTATGGGAATCAAGCCCCCGAGTGTTGCTAAGCAACCCGGGGATGGATGTCTAAATTAGTCAGTGCAAGTTGCCGGGTTGTGAATTCTCCCGTTACCCATGTATGTGGGCTGTCCTTTCACACTAGCAATTCACAATTGCCTCTCTCTCTCTCTCTCTCTCTCTCTCTCTCTCTCCCTCTCTCTCTCTCCCCTCCTCCCTGTTTCTGGCATGAGATGAAAAAAGATCTTTGAGGAAACAAGGAGCAAGGAATTCTTGCATATTAAAATCTGTGTCATGGTATGATGTCGTCAGCATATAGATTGATTGGATTCCGTGAGATCCTAAAGTCTGGAACCACTGTAGTTTGAGTGCTCTTTTCAAAACAGAATTAGAGTGTAAAAATGAGGGAACATAATTATTTAAATAGGAACATAAACATCTTCGCGTTTGGTTGTCCTACTTGATTCATTCATTCATTCATCTTCTTTTCGGCATAGTACCAGGTAAATGATTGAGTCTCAGGTAAATGATTCACGGAATCAAATGATCCATTCAGAGGGAGTCTCAGATAAATGATTCACAGATTCAAATGATCCATTTACAGTGAGTTTCCAATAAATGATTCACTGATTCAAATGATTCATTCAGAGTAAGTCTCCACTGAATGATTCATGGATTAAAAAGATTGATTCAGAGTGAGTCTCCAGTAAATAAACAGATTTTACACACTGATCTGAATGGGGTTCAGAGTGTGAATGTGGTTTCACAAGTCTTAAATTATGATTATGGTTACAAAAGCATATGACAAGTTTCGATAATTCAATTTTCTTGCAAAATAAACATTCATAAATAAGTAATTTTCCCTGTATGACTTATTCAAAATCAAGAACTTTTGCAATTTGACTAATTAGTATTTAAAAGGAGGACTTTATGCTTTACTGGAGTATTAATTTATTACACTCTTAGAAATAGAGGTACAGCAGATGTCACCGGGGCTGTACCTTTTCAAAAGATACATATTTGTACCTGAAGGGTCCATAATGGCACCTTAAATTTACTTTTTAGGTACATTTGAACACCTTGAGGTTCCTTTGAGGTACCACTGTGGACTTTTTGGGTACAAATATGTATCTTTTGAAAAGGTACAGCAACAGTGAACGATCCTATACCTTTATTTCTGAGAGTGTAGGGTATCTGTACTCTTACTCAAGTGCATAATTTTTGTATTTCATTCACCACTATTTAAAAGATGCAACCAGGTGTTTATTAGCTGATATTTTTGGTTTGAAATTAACAACTGTAAATGGAAAAAAATGTCATGCAAAATATTAATAAATACTATTATATATTTTATATATATATATAAAAATAAAAAATTACAAAT